TGCTGCTGCTGCTGCTGCCACTCAGCTCCAGGCCCCAGAAGTTACCTACCAGAGATGAGGAGCTCTTCCAAATGCAGATCCGGGACAAAGCGTTTTTTCATGATTCATCAGTCATCCCAGATGGAGCCGAAATTAGCAGCTACCTCTTCCGAGACACGCCTAAAAGGTATTTCTGGCTGGCTCAAGTGAGGAAGCTGTACTTTGAAGATAATGGCTTTATTTGATGGGTGTTTTGAAATAAAAATTGGATCCTAACCGGAGAAGTAGAAATGCCAGTGTTCTGTCTGGTGAAGTAAGTAACTATGTGAGTTTCCATCCCCATCTGGCCTCCCCAGCTGAGGGGCTATCCAATTTATTTGATTTCTGGGATAAGCCCAGAGCTCCCACAGACCACAGAAGTTCCCTGAAGTGGGGCCACTAACCATGTCTGGAGGCAAAGGGAGCGGGAAGGAAATTAGAAACTACAGGCTTACCCCACCACACTTGTCTCTCTTCATTATTTCATATTGTGCTTTGAAGAAGCAGCATAAGCCAGGCTGGTCTGAACTCTCCACTTCCCAACCTTGATCCTATGGGTCAGAAAATACTGAGGTTAGACTGAGGCTCCAAGAGTTGAGGGAAGACCAGTAGTGCCACCTTCCTCCTCATATTATACGCCTCCTTCAGCCTCCATCAGTGAGAAACATTTTACAATAAGTTATGTGTAGTGCTTGGGGGGCACTTGGGAGGACAGCTGAATGTGTATGTGTCTATATGTGCTTCTAGGGCCCTTACCTGGCCAGAGCATAAAACGTGTGTCCTGCATTGAAAAGCATATCCCTAACTTCCAGGAAAGATCCCGTTTCCCTCATTTATACTTTTGTGACCATTTATACTGTATGTAGTTAGTGAAAGGGTAAAAAGGGAAGCTGAGGGAGGGGAGGGCAGGAGGCCAGAAACCCCTCTGCCATGTCTTGACAAGCAATGTGTGAGCTCTGCAGCGCCGCGTTAAGGTGGGGAATTCCCTCACCTCCTTAGCGCTCACCCACCAGCCTTTCTGTATTCCCTCTGCACACACTTGCCTGTAAGTGACGCTTTTGTCTCTTGCCCCACCAAGATCAACCTTGATCACATCAAGCCAGTCCCTGCTGGTCAGCTGCCATCAGGATTTATTGATGTACGGGTCTGTTAACCTTCCCCTAGGTTTTTCTTTGTGGTTGAAGAGGACAACACTCCCTTGGCAGTGACAGTAACACCATGTGATGCCCCCCTGGAGTGGAAACTGAGTGTGCAAGAGCTCCCAGAAGAAGCCAGTGGAGAAGGTTCAGGTAACAAACCATCAAAGACTTCCCTTGCGCCTCAGAGACCCGCTTTTCTCCTGGATTTGAAGCCCTTCAAACCAGTCTCAGTGTGATGCTGAGTCTCGCAGCAGGCCCATCTTTATGATCTCCTACTGTTTGGATCTTCAGCCCTGGTCCTGCTGTTGTGCAGGAAACTTGCAGCAGGTAGCAATGTGACGAGGAAAAGGGCTGTAAAAAGGTAAAAGTAAAAGTTGAGGTTATAGAGAGTGCGCTGGATGCTGCCACAGCAAACTCTTGTTTGCCCATAGTAACTCGGTTTCACGGGGGTTCTCCTGTGAGCTGTGTACACAAGATAAGAACTGGAGAGATGGGGCTGGCATTGCAGCAGGGCTGGGCTCACCCCTTTGAGGGGACTTGTCTGTAGACGTGGAGTGTATCTGGAAATCGTCATGTAACTGCTACTCAAGAGAGAAAAGGTCTTTGGCTTCCAGAGCCTCTCACACAAGTGCTAAAATATCATACACACCACATTGTATGGTATACACACCTTTGGCCCCCACTGTATTTAGGCACAAAATTTTAGCGTGACTCAGAGGGCCAAAGCTAAGGGCCTGAGCCCAGAAACAGGCAGCAGAGTCAGTTCCCCCTGGGGAACAACTGTATGGCATCTCCCAGTTGGGTGCTTGAAATACTGTAGTAGAGGTATTAGCTGCCATTCAGGAGAGTCCATTAATACTGGTCAGGTGCAATTTCTGTTGCATTTGGTTTTAACCCGAGTGCCAAACCAATTTCCCTCTCTGATTTGACAGAAGCACTGATTACATCTTCCTCAGAAGATAAACCCTTCCTTTTTCATCTCACTTTTGTATTTTACATGAAGTGTCTGTTAGAGTTTTATTTTCTCATATTTGCAGATTGTGCCTGTACAAATGTTTTTCTTTGCTTGTAACCTAGGTGAACCAGAACCTCTTGAGCAACAGAAACAGCAGATTACTAACGAGGAAGGCACAGAGCTGTTCTCTTACAAAGGCAACGATGTTGAGTACTTTGTGTCCGCTAGTTCCCCGTCTGGTTTGTACCAACTAGATCTGCTGTCGACAGAGAAAGATACGCATTTTAAAGTGTACGCAACCACTACTCCAGAGTCGGACCAACCTTATCCTGAATTACCTTACGATCCTAGAATCGATGTCACTTCTCTGGGACGTACAACAGTGACGCTGGCGTGGAAACCAAGTCCCACCGCCTCCTTACTGAAACAGCCAATTCAGTATTGCATAGTCATCAATAAAGAACACAATTTCAAAAGCCTCTGTGCTGTTGAAGCCAAGCTCAGTTCTGATGATGCCTTCATGATGGCTCCAAAACCAGGTCTGGATTTCAGTCCCTTTGACTTTGCCCACTTTGGCTTCCCCTCAGACAACAACTCTGGCAAAGAACGTGGTTTCCTAAAATCATCATCAAAGTTTGGGCGCCAAACATCGTCCAAGCCGAGAGTTGACCTGCATAAAGTTTGTATTGGAAACAAGAACATCTTCACAGTGTCTGACCTGAAGCCCGATACGCAGTACTACTTTGACATGTTTGCAGTAAATACCAACAGCAACATGAGCACCGCATACATTGGCACCTTTGCCAGAACAAAGGAGGAGGCTAAGCAGAAAACAGTTGAACTGAAGGATGGCAAAGTTACAGATGTATTCATCAAGAGAAAGGGAGCCAAATTTCTACGGTTTGCTCCTGTTTCGTCTCACCAAAAAGTCACCTTCTCCATTCATTCATGCCTGGATGCTGTTCAGATCCAAGTTAGAAGAGATGGAAAACTCCTCTTGTCTCAAAACGTGGAGGGTGTGAGGCAGTTCCAGCTTCGGGGAAAAGCAAAAGCTAAATATCTCATTAGGCTGAAAGGAAGCAAAAAAGGTGCTTCTATGCTGAAGATCCTGGCTACAACAAGGCCTAACAAGCAGTCGTTTCCTTCTCTTCCTGAAGATACGCGAATCAAAGCTTTTGACAAACTCCGCACGTGTTCTTCGGTCACGGTGGCGTGGCTGGGCACGCAGGAGAGAAACAAATTCTGCATCTACAAAAGGGAAGTGGATGACAATTACAATGAAGAGCAGAAGAAAAGGGAGCAGAACCAGTGCTTGGGTCCAGATACGAGGAAGAAATCGGAAAAGGTTCTCTGTAAATACTTCCACAGTCAGAACATCCAGAAAGCAGTGACCACAGAGACAATCAGAGGCCTGCAGCCTGGCAAGTCCTACCTGCTGGACGTTTATGTGATAGGGCACGGCGGGCACTCTGTGAAATATCAGAGCAAACTGGTGAAAACGAGGAAGTTCTGTTAGTGCCCCTGTACACAGAAATATATGGAAGTTCCGTCTGAACATTACCTACTTCCAAGTATGCGGATTGACTACTTGCACAGCTGAGAAGTTGTGACCTGTATTTGTACTGTGCAGAAAAGATATCAACTTGTATATTTATGTTTACATAAGTAATTTGAGGAACTGAGGCTGGTGCTCTCTGGTGGCATCTGGCAACGGTATTATCATGTGTCCGGTGACCCACATGTGATGGCTCAGTAGATGTCCAAGGTAGCAGGAAACCTCGAAGGAACTGGCACTCCTTTGCTTCCATATTGCATGAACTGCTTCTAAATTATTTTATACTTAAAAGGCTGAGATACATCATTTGTCCACCTTGTTATTCACACACAAAACTCACAGACATACGCCCTTTCTCTCAGTGTAGATGGTAGGGTTTCTGTAAATTATTTTATAGAGTCTTGTTTTAAATGTTTATGTTTCTATGATTGTAAACTATTAAAATATCTCCCCAATAAAATACAGATCTAAACTAAGTATTAACTGGGCTGCACATGAAGCAGTTTCATTGCTAATGTAAATTCTTACCTAGCTGATTTTCATGTTTAAATACTGTATGTATTTCATGTACAAAGTTCCCATAACGTTATATTCCTGTACATAAAATTAAAAATATTAGATTATACATTGTTTCTTTTTTTCTTGACATTCTAAGGGGGCAAACAGGCTTGGGGACAGAAGAGGCGAGCTGAAATTTGAACTGAGTTCAGCTAGGATGAGCCTCTCTTCTGTTGTTCATCATCTTCTTTGGCAAGGTGACTGAAGTCCAGTAGAATTCCTGGTGTTACTGAGTCAGTTAAAATCTGCAAGGGAGGGCAGGCCATTGAAGGAGGGGTGTTTGCGGCATACTCTGGGTCTGTGGTGATACCAGCACTGAAGGAGCAGGACGGCACAGAGGAGCTTGCTTGTCCCGGGTAAGAATGGATCCTATTTCCTCGTGGGCGCGAGTGCCAGCAGCGCTTCACAAGGAGCTCACAGTTTGAGTTGGAGACCATAAAATTCAAACAAGTAACACACCAGAGAATAAGTTGTTATTTTTGTTAGATTATCATTGAAAACATTGGCTTTCTGGATGCAGCTGGTTTTGACCACAGTAATAATAAGCTGAGATGATTTTTTTTTTCCATTGACAAGAATAGTAGTGCTAAGAAAAAAAAAAGTGTACTTTCATTTAAATTGCAGTTATTTCCATTGTGTAGATTTCTTTAAAAAATTAAAATATCTGGATCTTGTCTTTTCTAAATTTTCTTATTTGTTTTTCCACGTCACCTTCATTGACTCAAAAACTTGTATAGAGTTGCCTAATGGAAAACACACTTTGAGAAGCAACTAGGCCAGCCCCCTTTCAAGTGGCTGGGAGCAAGATATGTACTGTCTTAGTCCCGGTATTATAGTACAGGTTAGGGCCTCGGGACAGGGAACTGAGACGTTTATTTCTTGGTCCCATCATATGTACCAGTCTGCAGCACTCAGGCAGTGGGTGTCAGGGCTTATTCAAAGAGAGTCTCTGTCCCTTCCGTAGGTGCCTGTCCATAAAACATCTCACTGCTGTGAATTCAGCACTTGCAGCCCCCTCGGGGCTCTGAAGATGAGGGAAAGGGACCAAAGTCCACATAAAGGCCAAGAGCAGATTCCTCTTAGGCTGCTCCTCGAGGAGACGAGAACTACCCATCCCTGCAGAGGTGAACTCCAGTTTTCCCTGACCCCGAAATGCTGTGCTCTTCAGGTTTCTGCTGCCCCCAGCACGTTTCAGTTTGCAGGCAGGCGGACAGCAGCAGGGTTTCGTGGCCGTGCAAGCTCGGGTGCCATTCCACATGCCGCGTTTGCTGTGACAGTTCTCCAAGAGGGACGCAGATACCGTATGGAGTTACCAGAAGAGACCTGCTGTGTTTAATGTAATTATATAATAAAGCAAATAATTGAAATTCAGATTTCTCCAGAGATGATCCCCTCTCCTCATTTGAAAACATCTGATCTCTTAAAGCGAATGGCTTCAGTAACACGTGCCTGCTAGATTACGGCACCGGGGCGTAGGTGAGCACTAATGACTGCAGCTGGGAATCCCTCACGGATGGGACTGGGGTACCAGTGTTACATCACCAGTTGCCAGGGAGATACTTTGCCTACATTTCATTGTCCAAAAAACTACCGAATACTTCAGTTAAAGGCAACACTTGCATTTTTTTAAGAATTTCTTTTCCCAAACAGCTAGCTCACTCTATTCTTCTGGATGAGACTGAGATCATACTAGTATCACATCTACTAATCAGCCCGTCATTATTTAAGCCTTAATGGAGTCAAGTGGATCTGAGAGAGGCAGTTCTTAGTTTGAAGGATGGAGTCGAAGTAAGGGCGCCAGTCTTTCTACAGTGCAAATATAAGTCAGCCTTAAGTGGGAGGTGACTGAAATGGGTATTGAGGTAAAATAGATATCGTCTACCGGGAAAGCTCCAGACTGTGAAGCAGAGAGCCCACGTAAGGAGTCGGAGCACAGGTTGAAGAGCTTTCCTTGAGCCCCATTGCTGCCAGTCAGCCTGGCCGTGAATGCAATTCAGATTATGCGTTACTTCATCCTCTGGCTTACCTCATCACCAATTTACAGCTTTCTGTCTACCGAGAAATAAAACAAATCTGCAGACTCATTTCACATGGGCCACAGAACAACAGTAACTTTGAACTGCTGCCCTACATTGGATCTGACTTAGTCACAGATCTGGATCCTGTTATTAATGCACTGTCACATCTGTATCCCTAGTTTCCCATCAAAACATGTATGAAAAACTTCTTAAAGAATATAATAGATGGATACCTGGCATAAAAGGTCAAAACAAGCTGGTATATCAAATACAGATACAAATATATAAAACATATAAAGGGTTTTTAAGCAAAAGGCTGGAGAGGTAACTAAAATAGACATGAAAGCTTGGAAATAGAAGGTTAAATGGAGTTCAAAATTCATACTGATGGGATGTGTCCCTTTGGGAAAAAAATGCCATGCTGGAATATGCAGTTGAGGAACATGCAGGGCTATAGGAAAGCAGTACGCAGACATGCCCACCTTGGTGGCAGCGCCTCATTAAGGCATATCTACTGCAGGACTGCGTAACAGAGAAGAAATCCTCTACAGATCTTTTTGTTGTTGGTTGTTTCAAAACGAGTAAAGAGTCATTGAGCTATTGCATACCACAGCAAGATAATCTCCAACACCTTCATCAATCAAAGTGGAGCTTATCTAATTTTACTGATTTACTTACTGAAAAATCTGGCAGCAGCCTTGCAATGTAAGCTTCAAAGAGCCCAAAGGACAAAGCAGTCCGTGAATTACAGAACACAAGGTTATGATGGTAGCAAAACTGCAGAATAAATCAATCGGTTATACACACAACATACAACTTGGTTTCAAGAACTCCACTTGTAAAAACAATGTATGGGTCTCAAAGCCGTATTTGTTTGGGTTCTAAGTAGCAATTTTAAGACTGATAACATACCAGGGAGAAAGAAAATCCTTATTCAGAACAGCAACCGTGTTTTTACCTTAGCACTTGGCAAAAAAATGCAATAGTTGTGGTTGCTCAAAATCTTTTAAATATTTATCTTTGAAGTTACCATGTTTGGATACATTCAGTTAAATGGGATGTGAAAATGCACGTTATCTAATTCAGTACATAAACAATGCTGAGCAACTGTGTACCAGGAACCTTGAACTCTTCTTTCTCTCCCTCCCTCTGCTTGGAAATCTATTCATAAACCTTTGTGATAGCAGAGATCAGCCCTCAAGTTTTGTGGCAATACACACATCTTTGGTCAGACTGACCACACAGAGATTGTCCCAGATCTGCCCACCACAGCAAATAATTTGGGTTCTCAGTACTAACTCTATTAATTTACATTGTGTGACTTCAGAGTTATTTAGAAGTAAAGACACATTTCAGTAAAGCATATAATTTACACTTGGCTGACACTGAGTAGAGAATGTGAGGCTGAAGGCTGGTGTACACTATGAAAACCTTTTAGCATAGGTTAAAGACTGGCAGTCATCAAGTCTTACTCGTGCTAGGAAGCTGTTGGTCTTTGACAGAGTCTTAGAAAAGTCATTATTCACCCACCCCTGTTTGGCTCAGTCAGAGAAGCCATCTCTTCCATTTTCTACAAGTGGTACTCATTTTTATCTTGTCTTGTAAAAAATACGCTGCTACTAATAAAACCAGCAACAAACCTTGTTACTCGTGAGCACAGTGTTTAGTTCCAAATGCCAATTACATAGTTCTGCTAACCTGGCCAGCGAGCCTTCTCAGGTTGTAAGGCCACTTTCCACAAACACTTCAGGTCAAAGAGTTACTCCGGGGAGACCTTCTTTTTACGTCTAAGATAAAAGAATTCAAACCCACAGTTTCGGCATGAATGCGTATTTTATCTTCTCACTTGGCCAGCACCAGAAACATAATTCATGTTTGAAAAGTGCGGCGTCTCCTTGCAGTGTTTTTGTCTGCTTCAGAAGCACAAGCCCATTTCCCAGAGAAGTCAAACAAACTCACTCTTGGCATAATGAATGAAATTAGCAAACGAAGAAACTATGCTGGGAAGGGTTACTTTGCTGAAAGCACTCCATACCGGCTTTTGGACCAGGGGACTATGCTCAAAGCGGTCTGTCTGGCAACTTGCCCCGGTTTGTGTATCAACTTAATTAGTAGCTACCTGGTACAATTAATGTCAGTTGGGTCCCTGTCTTGTAATGTGATGCTCTGTGTCTGCATAGGGACCTGCTGGGGCTGGAAGGCAGCATAGGGGCAGGGGTTCCCCCAAGCAGATCTCATTTCAGGATTTGGGCTTTAAACTATGAGGCCCTCTAGAGAGTACAAGGACCATGTAAATTGACAGCATTTGATAAATAATGTCTGTAGCCTAATTTAAATTGTTTCTTTGGCCAAGAATACATTTTACTGTTTGGGAAAAGGAGGTTG